ATCCCAGGAAGAGCAGGTGGGGACAGCACCCACCCCAAGAACAGGAAGAAAGAGCCCAAACAGGGGGCATGGTTTTGCAGTCTGTCTGGAGGGCTTTTTGTAGATTTACTTGGGTTAGAGAGGTCGCGTAGTTTGGAATGACTCAGGGCGGGAATTGATCTGGCTCAGGCTTATCTAGCAGAGCCTCCTAAATCCAACAGAAGCAGAGATTTATTTTCTGCAAGAGAAAGCTCTTTGTTTCTACCTATAAAGATAGGTCTTTTATTTTTTCCTTGTATGTGGGTGGCCGAGTGTGCACTATGCGGTTTCCCTCCCCTCTCTCAGCACCCCATCTAGAAGGGCCTGTGTTTAGACGTTCCCTGAGGGCTCTCGGTCTTACCTGATTAAGAAGCAAACTGCATGCATGGTGTTCTGGGTCTCTCCAGGCCCCGAATGTCCAGTTGAGACTCAGCTCTGTGCCCTCCTGGCCTCTCACTGTCAACTGCCTCCTCTGGGACTAATCACACCTCCCTCCACCCCCCACCCCCTACTCCCCCACCCCCACCGCAAACAAAAGGAATTCCCACCAGCTGTCCTAGAACCACTTCCTTTCTCCCTTTTACACTAAAACTTCCAAATCCCAGCAAACAATATATTCTAAAACTCCAGTAGAATTATTATACCGGTTATGTTAAAATTATACTAAAGTCACCACCAACTCCCTCCTTGATCCGTGATGGTATCATTTGATTTTGGTTTTGCTTTTCTCATGGGCCATCTGCATGGACCTGGGCTTCTAACCCTCGTCAGGGGAGAGTCCTTCCCATGACCAATCAGGGTTGAGCCTCAAAAGCATGCGCTTGCCCAAGAGAAACAAATGCTTGCTTCTCGCTATCCCTCTTTCTCTTTAAAACCAAATATTGATAAACATCTTGGACACTGAGGTCTACCACAAGGCACCCTGTCCTGGTTTCCTGAGGGAAAACACCTGGGCAGCGCCGGCCCAGCTGGGCTGTGTCTCTCAAGGAATGGCCCCCCAACTTCATCAGTTCGGTTATAACCACTAACAGCCATCAGCTAGAGCTCTCTGGAAGAAGAGTGGTTCATCACTGCCATGTTCTTGCTCTCAGAAGCTCTTCCTCTCTCCTGGTCACTGCAGGATGAAGTAGTCCCTCATTTTCAGTTGGGTTTCTCAAGTGGCAAGATGGGGAGACAGCTGCCTTCCCAAAGGCACACTACCAAAAGGTAACATGCAGATGCCTACCAGGCAGTCTTTCACCAGCAAGTAGGCAACTAAGGTCATGAGGGCTCATCAGAAAACCTCAAAGTTGGGACGCCTGAGTGGCTCAGTCAATGAAGCGTCTGACTCTTGGTTTCAGCTTGAGTCATGATCTGGGGGTAGTGAGATCGAGCCCCGCGTCAGGCTCTGTGCTCAGCAAGGAGCCTGCTGAAGACTCCCCCCGCCCCACTCCCTCTGCCCCTCCTCCCCCCTCTTTCTCAAATAAATCTTAAAAAAGAAAAAAGAAAAAAAACCTCAAAGTCACTGGCAAAATGGCTTGTGTGGAGCCAATAGTTCCTCCCAGGTTCTTCTCCTTGACCCCCACCAGGAACTGCAAATCCTTCAGACCTGTCCAAAGCCAGGGTGCAGTCTTTTCCACACCTCTTCTTTCCCAGGTAATCAGAAAGCTGTTGGTTGCAGCTGGGGTACTTGAGTTTCCTAGGGAAGTCCCTCTTGCTGACACACTGGCTTTCTTCTGCAGCTAGGACACCATTGATTGTCCTTTCTGCCTTGGTTGGCAGCAATCTGAAGGTACCTTGGTTTTTTGGATATATAATAAGTTTTCTCCTTATTGCCCCTCTTTTAGAATGTGGGTCCTTTCTTTAATAGTCCTGATGTATGGGTATATTATCATAGAAGTGATCCCAAATCATTTCAAGTAGAGACTAGAAAATTTTAAAAAGTAATACTAGTTTCCTAATCTATAAAAAAAACTAAATAATACTTGCCCCATAGAACTGATCAATAGCATAATGATTGCACAGCATCTAACACAGCAGGTGTTCAGTAAATGAGATTTGATTTAACTTAAACATCATTAGTACATTACTAATTCCTGTCCTAAGCAGAATTATTGATGGTACCATGGCAAGAATTTTTCATTTAATTCATAATTGGGACCCACATGATTGCAGATTGGATTGGAGACAGTTTACAGTACCAAAGAAATTATCTTTGAATTACAATATGTAAAATACGATCATTCATACAAAGAGAGACACAGAAAGAAGGAGGAAAAACAGAATTCCAGGATCCAGGTGAGTTAATTGCTGAAAATGAGCCTGACATTCACTTTGTGTTTTCTGACAGCCAAAGCTGGGAGAAAATCAGGTTAACGTACATGACTCTCATTTTCTGATAAATGCAACGTGTACCTCTCGTGGAAAGTGAATTTTTCTCCTAACATTCAGAGTCCGGGTAACTGCTTGCACTGATCCTTTTATGAGATATACTGGGTAAGCAACAGAAGGGCCACGCGTACATCTGCCCAGGGGCAAAAGCATACACCCCAACTTCAGAAGAGAAGTTTCACTTCATCAGTATTAAATGGTTAGGGACCAGTGGGTGAGCCCATCTGGGGATGTTCTAAGGGTACATAGAAGGGTGCTCTTTTTCATTTTCTAAAGCGTTCACTGAGAAATTTTCTTGAAGAGCACAGACCAGTGGCTCAGGTCCACTGAGAATACCATCCCATTCTCTCTTAGTGCACATGTACTTAAGGAACAAGATGTTAAATGACTCCTCTCTATTCCAAAATATGCACCACCTCCAGGCTTCAGATCGTTGAAGCAGCCTGGCCAGTGGCTTCACTCAGAGTACAGGCTGATCCCTCTTGTTAAGCCTCCACACAGCCTTGTCTGCGGCTCTCTAAGCCCGGCTCACCAGAAGGGTCTGCAGATGGTGAGACTGTGGCTTCGTCCCTGGGGGGCCTGCTTCCCATTGCTCGCAAATAATCAGAGACAACAGACTTCCCTGGGAAAACTATAATCACCCAACTAGGGGCAAGGCCAAATGCTCGCAGAATTTATTGGCTTTGATGAACAATTAGGTGTTTGTTTTTGTAGGTAATTAGAGTGCAATAGCAAGCTCTAAAGGGCCCTCCAAGAAATTGAAGCAGACTGTAGCTAAGGGCTACTGGAGTCAGACTGAATCTCACCATTCATCTCGGCAGACCTCCTGCGCTCAGACACCCGTGGTCCCCGCACAATCACACAGGTCAGCAGGGAGAAAATGGCCCTCTGTGTTCCTCACGTCCAAGGAGAAAGCGGGCACGTGTGTGCTCACACGCGGGTGCAAAAAGCACTCCAGCGTGGGCCCTGGCACTGAAGGCTGCATGGAATCTTGTAGTTCATACAAATAGATGCATTCAAAAGTCCACGACAACCCACGGGTCGGAAAATGTTTTGACAACTGCATTCTCAAGACCATTAGAGGTCCTTGATTCTGAGGAACCAGGACAGGCTGGGTGGGCCATTTGGCCCAAAGATGAGAAGAGAGGATGTTTGCCACAGCCATACTGATTTACGCTTTTCTCTCAGCTACAGCTTTTGGCGTTGTTGTTGTTGTTTTTAACAAATCAGAAATGTGAATACATATTTGATTGTAATTAATTTTTTTAAATTATTTTCTAGTAGTATAGGCCAAAAAAAAAAAAAGTGTGGGCAAAGGGCTGTCGCCAATATTTAAAAATACTGTCGAGATAAAAGAACTGTGTACTTAGAGACAAGTGCTCATTTAGCTGCTTTTAGCCGATGACATGTTATTTCTGCCTTAATCCCAGGAAATACACATGGGATTATTATCACTCGCTGTACTCACATCATGATACTCAATAGGCACAGAAAAGCTAACTACCAAACCCATCTATGGGAGTGAAAAAAATGAAAATGGGACCAGATAAACAAAACAAGGCAAAAAATACATATATAATGCCACAGATGTGGCTAGCCCTAGAGGAAACTGCTTTTGTCCTTCTCCTTATAGACTGATTTTACTTTTGCAGAAGGCTGAGCTCACATTTGGGGTCCCAGGCATCTTACTCCATAGGTCATTAGGAAATGCTTTAAATTTTTTCACCAAGAACTAGATTTCCATTTAATTTTGTTCTATCCAACCCAATATAAATTTTCCTATTGTTCTGCATGCTCTGACCTCCTTGATTTACGTATTTATTTTTTAAGTTCTCGTGCAGTCATACCACAATTTTTCCTTCAGAGAAATCCAAAACAGACACCTACTGCCAGAGAAATAGTAAACGCTCAGGCCACAGTTTCAGAGTTGGCTGGCTTTCTGCCACCTGAGACTTTCTGCAGGTGATCTCAACCTTAGGCCAGCCACTCAACCCCTCTGACCTTCTGTTTCCTCCTCTGAAAAACCGGGAGGCTGCCTCAGATCTTTTCCACAACATCTTTGGGCTCTGAGGTTCTGTGGCTCTCCCCAACTCCGGGGATGTACAAAAGCAGCAGCTGATAATTCTTTAAAACTAAGACACCGACATTCTGCCTTCGGACAGTTGGGCCTTGTTTGAAACCGGCTCTCAAGGAAAAAGAAAGTCAACAGCATGAAGATAAATCCCATTCTTTGAACGATAGAGTGAATCAAAGATCATGCTGGTCCAGGAAAGGAAATGCAACCAAAGACACTCTGAGACAAACCTCTTCCCTCTATGGTGTGTGCGCTAAGAATAGACATGAACACGAAATTAACACTTCAAGTCTCAGAGACCATCTGGTCAGTAATCTCTCCAGGTTCCCTTAAGGGCTGGGACCCAGGCTTGCTGGCCTAGGTCTGTGTTACAGAAGAAGTAAAGGCCAAGAGCACCACTGTTTCAGAACTTTTGGAATTCAAGAGAAAAATATATATATATATGTGTGTGTGTGTGTGTGTGTGTGTATATATATATATATATATATATATTCAGAAAGGAATTGGAAGAGGCAGAACAATAGAGTCTGATACTTACTTGTGGCCCAGCTCATGAGCGATGGTAAAGGCCAAATTGAGACCATTGTCTTCGGCAAGCACGCATTTCCTCTTAGCACTGCACACACCTCCTAAGTAAGCAATTCCTGCAGCAGAGACACAAAACACATCCTCTTCAGAATGTGGGAGGCCCTGACCTCGCCGGGCAAGTCCATATGGTCAACATCACGCATGATGGAGAGAGGAGGGGCAGACTGGAATGATGATGTGGCCAAGGGGCTGGAGCCCGTCATTCCAGAGCTCCTGTGGGGGATGGGCTGGTGTCTACTGCTTTTGGATTCACCGATAAATCATTAGTGATAATAACAACCACCACACAGATCTGCCAAGCATTTAACAGGTGTCAGGCAATGTGCTGCGTTTACACGCGTTATCTAATTTAATCCTAATTACCCAGGGTGGCGGTAACAGAGGGAAACCAAGGCTCAGAGGGGAAAGGTAAGTTGGATTGGTGCATGGCGGTGGGATGCTCTCCAACTCCAACATGCAGGGCTGGGACGAGGTGAGGCCAGCAAGGCAAGGCACCCAGCATGAAAAGCTGAAGGAGGGTCCCCCTCTCCAGAGCTGACCCTGCACTTGCACGCCCAGAGAGGGAGGGGGTGCCTCCTTAAGTTCTGCACCCCAGGCACCTTCTTTCCCTCCTGTTAGTGCTAGCCGTGCTAGGTCCAATGCCCTCAGGGTGGGAGCAGGGAGCAGGGCAGCAGCTAGGCTCCCAGAAAGCAGGCCAGGGAAGGCTGTGCACAGTATTCAGAAAAATGTTTCAGGAACCGTCGGGAGAGAATAAGACCGGGACCCGGAGGGGCGGAGGGAGAGAGAGAGAGAGAGAACGCCAGAAGAGGGAGGGCCTGGAAGTCATCAGTGAGGATGAGCCCCATGGACCAACTTGCTCATCTCCACACACACCTGACTGGGGTCCCTTGGCTGCTGAGACAAGAACCGAACCCACGCACCTGGGTGGGAGGCAGATGCAGGGGAAGAGTTTGAGCAAGGGACAGGAGGCTGCCAGCCTCTGGAGAATGGAGGGGAGTCTTCTAGGGGAGAAAGGTTATCCCTGCAGAAAGGCGTGTGTGAACAACAGGAGGGCCTTGGCCAGGCCACACCTGAGGAATGCACTGGCTATGTATTAGCTGCCACTCCCCACGGCAGCTCTCCACGTCTCCCGTTAGCTCCTGCTATCTCTGCACCGGGGACAGGCAACCCTCACTACCCAGGTGCCCCCGGGGCTTAGCGCAACGACGGGGGCGGGGGGGTGGCACAGACCCCCTCCCATTCCCAGGGCTTGGAATGGAACCTGTGCGAGGGCCAGAAGCATCTGCACTCCCACTGACCGCAGCCTCTGACCCCTTCATACAGCATGAGACGCAGGAGGGGGTGGTGAGCCAGGGTGGCTGGTGGGGCACACACCAGAGGCAGCTCAACGCTCCCCTTGCTGTGAGTTCACAAGGGCTGTGGGGTGGCCTATGGCTCCAGTGGCCCCATGGCCAGGCAGGTGCTGCCCAGCGGTACCTGGTGACCAGGCGGGCAGAGGCTCTCCCAGCCAGACTCTCCCCGCCAGCGCTGTGCCCTGGGAGGGACTGTGGCCACCGGCGTGAGAGGCACCCGTTTTCCACGCCATGCCCCCCTAAGGTGCACACTGCCCCCGTTCGGAGGCCCCCTTGCGCTAACGCACACCAGGGGTCTCAGGAGCGAACACTGGTCTTGCAGGCACAGGAACTGGGGAGGGAAGGAGCGGGCAGAAGGCAGAGAATGGACAGGGGGAATGAATTAAAAATGATCCTCCTTCCCTGTGCCCCCAAAGCGACACCTAACCTCTTTGTGGACATCAAATTCAAACGGAGGGCGACCTCAGCTGCACACAGGGCACTTCCTCCTTCCTCCTGATGGTCCCCCAGGAGCCCCGAGAGGCAGAGCTCCCTTGCCCCCCGCTCCGCTCTGCAGGGAGATGCTGCTTCGGGGCTCAGCTCACATCCGGCACAGCGAGCCGGCACCACAGCGCAGGTCTATTCTTATTTGGAAACATGCAAAGTGCTTGGCCAAGGTTGAAGAATTAAGAAAAAAACAAAAAGAGAGAGAGAGAAAAGGAAAAAAACAAAATGAAATGTTAGTTGGCCTCAAGATGTGTGTTTTTTTTTTTTTTTTCCACGTGGACATCATAATCCAGCAATGCAGACTATTGGAAGGAGAAAAATGACAACCAGAAAGGACATGATCCGGCTTCTCGGTGCCTTCAAGGTCATTATTCTGGTTTTGTTTAAAAATGCTTTGTGGGTTGCTGCGCCAAGTCCAGCAGTGAGTAGGTGGAATGCTTCTACGCAGCACCGATGGTGTGTGCGTACAATAGCACACGCACACCCTCGAATGCACACCCAGCAGTGCTCTCCTGGCCCAGGGCCTCGGCCTCCTGGGTCAATGAATCAATCGGAACAATCAGATGTGCACGCCCCGGGAGGAGCCATCTGGTGAATGGGGAAAGGAGGCATCTGAAGCCAGCTGTGCTGAGCTTGTGGTCCCAAGAGCGGCTGCTGAACCAGCAGACTTTGATGCCACACGAACACGTTCCCTGGCCTCCGCTGCACTCAGTACCCCGAGCCGGCAAGGCCTGAGTTTCCACTGTAATTAGGTAACACGCAACATTAGGGAAACAGCTAAGCAAAGAGCCTTCCAATAATTGCATTTTAATTTTTCCAAGGCACAGATGATTTTTTTTTTTTTTAATGAGAACACAAAGGATCAGTTTATTTATGAGAAATGTTCTCACACGAAGGTGGATTAAGGTCTAGTGCTTTGAAGGATGTATTCCAATCATGCACAGCCTGGTCAGAAAAGCGAGCAATGCAAAGCACGTGAGAGAAGATGGCCCCTGAGACACAGGGCAGGAGCGTTGAGCCTTCAGGACCCACGGTGTGGAAATGCTTAGAACTCACAAATCAAAGTCTGAAGAAAATCCCAGGTTGTGGTAAAAGTAAGAGCTGCAGGCAATAAATGGCAATTGAGCCATGTGCTTCCACGAGAAACAAAGCCCCACCACTATTCCCTGTTCCCTGGAAAGAACGGAGGAGCAGTGTGGAGGGGAGGAGAGGCTGAAGCTGTACCACCAGAGGGAACTTCCGACGGCCCTGGAATTCCCTACACTGACAGCAAGACCCTAGAGTGGTGTTTTCCATGCCTTTACCCTTCCATGACTTACAATTCTTTGCCAAAAAGAAAAAAAACAACATAGGACTTATTTTTGAAATGTTAAAAACATCAATTCCACATGTTTGCAGAGCTCCTTGGAACAAAAAGGGAAGCAGGAAGGCAACTGGCATTTATTAGGGTCCTCTCCAGGGGCAAGCACAACTCAGAATGCATGATAATCCTTTATTCGGTGGGTATGGTTACCGGCCCCATTTTACAGACAGGGAAATGGAGGCCCAGTAACCAGTTATATGGCTGACCAAGCCCAGACCCAGATACAAGTACAGGACTCTTTCTCCAACACCAGTGTTCCTCCAGGCAAACCTTGAGCCTCCCTCACCAAAGCTTTGGTGACTGACAACAGTGAGTAATCTTTGGGGGTTTCGAAGATTTTCATAAATCTTAATGTGTGCTTATGCAGAGATGTGGGTCAGGTAAAATAAAGGTTTCAGGTGTTTAAGTCCAAATGTTTTTTAAACTAAAGATAAAAAAAGACTCATGGGGTATGTGCGATACTATTAGTGGTTACCTCCAGGATCATGCAGTTGGTTGAGCGTCTGACTCTTGGTTTCGGCTCAGGTCATGATCTTGGGGTTGTGAAATCAAGTCCCGTGTCAGACTCTGAGCTCAGCATGGAGTCTGCTTGAGACTCTCTCTCCCTCTCCCTCTGCCCCTCCTGCTCAAGCCCTCTCTCTCTAATAAATAAATAAATCTTAAAAAAAAAAAATCCAAAATGCTGACGGTAGAAATGAAGAGCTGTAAAGATTCTTTTCTGATGCCTGGAGAAGTCTATCAGATTCATTCAGAAAAGCCAGAGTCTCCTAACCCATCTTCCCAGCCACGTCAACTCAGTGTGGACATTCTCCCTTCTCCTTTCTTTTCTTTTCCTTGGTAGGACTGCAATTTTGGAGAGGAAATTGGGTGAGGAGGTTTAATTATTTTCTTTTTCAGTATAAAACTGCATGGTGTAAGCACATAATTCTTTTTTTTTTTTTTTAAAGATTTTAGCCATTGGACAGAAAGAGACACAGTGAGAGAGGGAACACAAGCAGGGGGAGTGGGAGAGGGAGAAGCAGGCCCCCCGCGGAGCAGGGAGCCCGATGCAGGGCTCGACCCCAGGACCCTCAGATCATGACCTGAGCCGAAGGCAGACACTTAACGACTGAGCCACCCAGGCGCCCTAAGCACACAATTCTTAAACTGAGAGTTGACCATATCCTTTCTAGATTAAGGAGTAAACAACACACAACTGTATAAACTCTGATTTATCCAGCAAATTGTCACATGTAAACAGTTTGCAGCTGTTGGCCTTGTTGGCCATTACTCATACCTTCTTGGACTCTGCCTCTGAAAGAAATGGTTGAGTTTCTCCTACCAACTGCTCATAGTACTAACTCCATCACGGTTATCACTGGGATACCACGCTGCCAGTTATAAGGAACTTACATCTCTTCACTTGGCAATCACAGTGGTTGAGACAGAGCTGCACATTCAGCCTTGCGGACATGTCTTCATGCTCTTGTAAACTTCCCCAAGTGGTTGGAGGTAAGATATGAATTTGTGAACAGCAATTAGGAGCAAATGTCTTAGAGTCCAGGATGCAACAAATGATAAAGAACTACAGTCGATTCTCATTATCTCTGGGAGTTAGATTCCAAAAAGTTGCTGTGAACACGAAATTCTCAAATACAGCACCATTGCTCCTAGGGGACATACAGGGTTAGGTTCCTGTGAGCCTCTGGTCACAATATCTTTGTCAACCGGCCAATATATAACCTTGTTTTACTTGTGTTCCTGTTCAAAGACATCTTATTTAATATATATTGTATTGTTGATCCATCAACTTCGAATTCATGGCCAAAACTCCTATAACTCATGCCTAAATGAAGCTTATCTTGTATTTTTCTCT